TTCTATGTCCTGAACGAACATCAGAAAATCTTACACTTAAAAATTTCTGAACATTAGAAATTTAGGAGTTGCGAGAATTTTTTTGATTTCGTGGAAGCAGATATGAGTTCATTTGTGTATAACAAGGATAAAATTTAATTTCTTATCTTTTAGCGTTTTTTGACCAGCAGCACTTGTACAATGTACAATTGTACATCCACTGTTCAAGAAAACTGAAAGATCAGTGGTTGCAACCTGTCAGCCATTCAGCGATTACTTGTAACCTTGTGCACATTTCCTCGTGCAGAAAAGCCCTTCTCAAACATTCCGACGCTCAATTTGAATCTCGATTACCAACAGTAACGGGGTAGGAACTTTATATCAAACAATACCTGTATGACTCTTCAAGAAAAAATCGAGTTTAAATCTGAAATGAACCTTTGATTCAGACGGCTGGTGGAATCGTGTATCGAGGGTCGAATTGTCCAAGCCTGTACAGGCGAATTTGCGACCTAAGGACTGCACTCAGATGTATTTTGAAAAGCCTTTCATATCACGCCAGCCATTTTTCGCCATTTGTTAATTCGGACAAATTTAATAGCAGTAAATCTTACGCTTATCAATAAATTAAGCAATAGCTTATGAGTCCCTTCGTGATTTCTTCTTTGTTTTAATGGAATAATAGATTGCAAAAACTTGAAACGGTGAAAAAATTCAAATGTTATTCCAATGCAAAAAAACATAAATTATTCATTACCGTCAAGCAAACCAATGGATATATACTTCTTCAGAAATAAGCTGAGAAATTTACTAGAAATTAACATTAATTTCGTATTCAAAACAATTGGTTAATATCGATCGTTCTGAGGTTTGAGAACAATTCCAACCTCATTATATATATACNACATTTAATATACAGCAGGGATGAAAATATTCTAATTTCAGAACTAAGTTTTGTTTCAGTAATGTATACGAGTACACAACCAAAGCAGATGCTACCTTGAAGCACGGGATTAAACAAGTGAAAATTTACGGACGCGGCAGATTCTGATTTGGATTACCAGAAGCTGGGGCGACTCTAAATTTTGTTAGGGAAGGTTAGAGGGCAGCGAACTGGCGCAGAACTTAGTGACCTTGAATATGTGCGCGACCAGAGCTCGCGGGTTGACCTCGCGCTCGCCGAAGACGAGGGTGGGCCGGATGGCGAATCGCGGTCCCGATCATGGTGGAGCCCGAACCTGCCGTAAACCGGTCCTGCCATAACCCGGTCCTGCCATAACCCGGTCCTGCCATAACCCGGTCCTGCCATAACCCGGTCCTGCCATAACCCGGTCCTGCCATAACCCGGTCCTACTTAGTCCGGTCATGCCGTAGCCCGATAAACCGTTACCAAAAAAATATTGTTCAGTAACGTAACAAAAGTTTTGCAAGGAAATTTCTATTTATTGAATTGAGATAATTATTAAAAACATGTACTGGAAAACATAATAACTTTAAAACGTTGACTCCGAAGTGGTACATATACGTACCACAACAAAATGTATTTTTCCAGGACGTAATGGTGCATAATTCACGGTTGCCAGATTTATCCTAAAAAACGGCCAAATCCGTGAACAAAAAAGGCCAAAAGAGGCCTATTACTCAATATATATTTGTATATATATATATAAGTTCCGGTGTAAAAATTCAATTTCTTTTTTCGTAGTTTTAAAAATTTAATTTGGAAGTACCCCTATCATAAATTTTAGCCGGACAACGCAATTGAAAAAACTAAATCGCAGAATTTGTCCGGAAAAAAAATTTTCTGGAAACCCTATTTCAAAATGGTAAAAAAAAGGAAATAGTAGTACAAGATGAAGCAACCGGAGTCAACTTGTTAAACTCCGATTTCACATCTGTTTGTCAGAGAAAACGAGTACGTACTTATTTATATAAGATGCTGTCACTATAATAGCGCTGTCCAGCTATTGTTTTGCTGATGTAAAAACTTATTCGAAGTACACCAAACAACAAGTGAATCGACCGTTCATTGAACTACAAAACCACTTCAAAATATTTCTTTTATTTCGTCAGAGAACGGCCATGGCTCGCGTGTGCGGGATACAAAAACCATAAGACCAGCGGTGATTTGCATAGGAAGTCCATTCAGATTTTATTTAAAATTTATTCTCAGTAATGGCGCTAAAATTCAATGCCGTAAAAATCGTGTCCAAAAAATGTTATCCAAGCTACAGGTAATTCTGAAAACTCTGAAGTGAATACAAACCGCTGGGACAATTCGGAGATTTCTGAATATGGACAACTAAATAAGATACTTTCAATATTTGTGTACACTCAGTCCTGCATTACACAAAAGGGAAGTACATATTTCAAGCGTTGTCACGTTGAACGTTGGAAAGAAAGTGGACTGGGAAACTGCTCCTACACGCAGAAAAATGATGGGCGAAATTGTTCAAATAGTGACACACTTTCTACTGGTAGATCTGATGCGTCCTCTTCAAGGACGGAACGGGGTCATGATGAAGCGCACACCCTAACAAAATTGAGAGGCATGAGCGACGTACTCTGCATTAGGGTCATCTATAGACTCGGGTAGCACGTAAATCAGCTTCTCTATGTCCGCTTCTACTCGATCAGGGTTCGAAGGGCAGCTTTTTGGCAGTTCGCTAGCTCGGTATAACTAGGCTCGGCCAATCCTGGTCATACTCTCAGGCGACTATAAAGTCGGAAAGGAAATTCTGACTAGAAACTGATTTCGATCGGGTGGCCAACCAGACCAATACTTACTACAAAACACAGATAGGTTATTCGTTCTTCATAGATAGGGTTTTCGATAGAGTAAATAAATTAGCATTCGTTAATTCGTCTATACTTCTTACGAAACACAGATAGGTTATTCGTACTTCACAGATAGGGTATTCGATAGAGTAAATAAATTAGCATTCGCTATATATTCGTCTATACTTCATACGAAACACAGATAGGTTATTTGTCCAGTGACACTTATTTCACTGCAAGTCAGGCTTGATTATTTCCTAAGATGCGGTCCTTGTAGGTCCCTAATTAATGCTCAATGTTGCAGATAATATTTCAATCAATTTTGTTAACTCATATTCATGTTTGCAACATTTTCCTTTGCAATTTCATTTTGAATATACTAATTTCGTTTATGGAGGTTATAGTTATTGGATTCTTGCTCGCAGTCTCGCTCCATAAAATTCATAGAATTGTAAGAAAAAGTATAAAGTAGTATTTGTACTGAATTTTTTCATGTCTGAGGCTAAATAAACATTTTTCATACTTCTAACACACCTGCTAACTTCCAAGGTTTAATGCAATAAAAAAAGGTTCGTTCCGCAAAACAAGTAATTTAAGTTTTATTTTGACTAAATAATTTTAAAGAACAAGTCACTTTTAAGATTATCCAGTGGAGAGAAATACATTTTTCTAATATCTAATAATGAATAAATTTTAAAAACATTAATCTTTCATGGTAAATTAAGATTATACACAGCAAAGAAAAATCACATCTTGAACATCTACCGAAGATAGCAAATTAATTATTGTATACAGGACTCAATTTTTCACATGTAGGAAACATTGATATTGAGATGGTTTAACGAACGTTTTTTTATAATAATAAGGGTAACAGTTGCATGCAAGCTTCATGATGAGTTTATTTCTACGCAAAACATCAAATTTATTCTTATATAATATTTTATTAACATGAAGTAAACTTGAGCGCCCAATTGAAAAGAATGGAGTTTCGTCTTGCATTTCATAGTAAATTACTAGTTATCCATATTAAAATGAGTGAGTAAAATTAGATGAGTGAGTCCGTAGGTAAGTCAGATTGAGTTATTTCACTCGGGCCCCATAAGCATGAATAAGTCAGGTGATTAAAATTTGAGTTCTTGAGTTCGTAAGGATGAATTGTGAGTTAAAACTTGACAATATTATTCACATGATGATGACTATATAAACATATCTATTGATTCACAAAAATGGGAAATGATTGATTCACAGAGGCAGTAAAATGTAGAAGTCACTCATAAGATTGTTTATCTAAGCGATACGTGGTTTGTTGGTTCGAATGTAAATTTTTACACTTTTGAGAAGAGGGAACGTTATATCCTAACAGATTAAATTGTGAAACTTTTCGACTGATTTCATTGTCTCGCATGTACATTATAATATAAAAAGTATAGCACTAGTTCTAGGTATTCATGAAATAAATTTTATAATTAACAAATGAAAAACTCAAAATTATCATTCAATGGTGAAATATTTTATAAATTCATAAGCCTTGTCATAAGTTATTGTTGAAGGTGAAGATTAGCATATATAGTTGCAACACAAATCACCCTAATATACATGCGTGTATCAACGGAAAATACGAAAAAGCTTTCTTTATTGAGTTTCCATCAAAACTTTACTTGGCATTCTCAGTAGTTGCAGATCAAAATTTTGATCGATGCATATGAAAGAAAAAATATCACATGCCGACCCAACCCATTGTCGGGAAAACTACAATTCTTTATGATACACAGAGGAAAATCACAATTTCTATTTTAAGCAGAGGAAAATCACAATTCCCTGTGTTAAGCAGAGGAAAATAACAATTCCCTATTATAAGCAGAGGAAAATCACAATTCCCTATTTTGAGCAGAGAAAAATAACAATTCCCTATTATAAGCAGAGGAAAATCACAATTCCCTATGTTGAGCAGAGAAAAATATCATTCCCTATATTAAGAATATTTTGGACGATTATAAAAGGAAAAATGAAAACATACGGTTTATTCGCCGTGAAATTCATACCTTAATTAGCAGAATACATAAAGTGGTCTTATATGTGCCTATTTATCCAATCCTGTCTCCCCTATTATAAACAGTACCACTTAATACCAAAAAGTGATTGACTTGATTGCGCATTTTCTCATTTATCGAAAAAAGATGCTCTTGTGCTCGTCATGTCCGTCCGTCCGTGACTTCCGTCAGTGACTTCACGGACGGACGAGAAAATGCGCTCTCTGTCACTCACTGCAGTGAGTACTGATCTAATTTTTTTGAAGACTGATATCGTGGTCGAGAGGTTACATCGACGGTTCGGTTGTAAATTTGTTATGAAGAATGATTAACCTATTCAGAATGGTTCATTTACAAATTTCTCATCACACACTTGCATCCATCAACGTCATACCTCGAAATTAGTAAGGGCGATAATATTACTCTTAAAAATTATTACCCAAAAATAGTAATAATATATTTTAATTTAATAACGATCATTCTCTATGTAATTGACAACCGTAGCTTGAGCCGCATCTATCACGAAAAAGCTACAATATCGTTTGTTAGTGGTCGTCTAATGTTGAACCTGGGCTGACCTTGTCCAAGTAGGAACATTTGGGGCTCAATCAAAGTTGTGATGAGGTTCTGGGTGTGAAAAAGACGGCGTTGCTTAATCCGCAAGGATTTGCGGGCCATCAGAGCCATCGTTGTTAATGATAGGCGGGCCATCGAAGCCACCGTTGCCACCATTGCCCCCGTTGCCACCGTTGCCACCGTTGCCACCGTTGCCCCCGTTGCCACCGTTGCCAAACCCTCCGGGTCCGAATCCGAAACCTCCAAATCCACTGTTGAATCCAAATCCTCCATCTTCGAACCCTCCGACTCCGTTGCCTCCAAATCCTCCGCCACCATGTCCACCGCCACCATATCCACCGCCACCATACCCACCACCATACCCACCACCATACCCACCGCCATACCCAACGCTGACAGGCACGAGCTTTAGTATTTTGTATCCTCCGCCTTTCTTCCCTCCAAATCCATATCCACCGCCACCTTTCTTCCCTCCCCCATATCCATATCCACAGCCACCTTTCTTCCCTCCCCCGTATCCATATCCACCGCCACCTTTCTTCCCTCCTCCATATCCAAATCCACCCTTCTTTCCACCACCACCATAGAGTCTGTAGCTCACTATTTGATACCCACCACCACCTTTCTTCCCACCTCCATATCCATAACCACCACCACCTTTCTTTCCACCTCCATATCCATAACCACCACCACCCTTCTTTCCACCTCCATATCCATAACCACCACCACCACCCTTCTTTCCTCCAAATCCAAATCCATGACCGCCTTTCTTTCCTCCTCCATATCCATATCCACCACCGCCTTTCTTTCCACCACCGTGAAGGCCAACAAGTTTGTAGACCACGACCGGATGGTAGCCAACGCTGTCATATCCACCGCCATAGCCTCCATAGCCAACACTATGACCGCCACCGTATCCACCACCGTAACCGCCTCCTCCTTTATCTCCATCAGAGCCACGAGCGAAGATCGCAGCCACCAAAAAAACCCACGCGATTTCTGTCACCTGTGAAAGTAAATCAAAGTTAATCAATTTTAAGTCAATCCCAAAATGCGGCACATGAAAAATTTCCTCAGGGTTCAACAAATATGTACGAAATTAAACCACTAGCACAGCCGACCAAAGCTATTACTTAATTTGATGGCGGGACACTTAGAAGTATCCATTCATCCATAATTTCATTAATTAATACATTAATCCGTAAGTATCCATTAATTCATAATTCCATTAATCAATGAATGGATGGTTGAGTTTTAAGACTTTCGACATATATCAATTCTTTGAAACTTATAAACGAACTTCCAGAGCCGACAGTCCCTAAATGTCACACTGATTACGAGCTTTTGCCATTGTCTTCCCCGAAGAAACTGTCAGCTTTCAATCAGCTTTGCTTCTTTCACTTGCTGGTCTCGAGGTCAGTGATCAGGTTTAGTGCTGGACATTTGCATGCTCAACCAGTTGAAGTGGTCAACCGGTTGGCAACCTTAAATAACGGTATACGAAATGTATTTTTTTAATTATAAGCATAATATAACATTTCAGGACATTTCGGAAACAAATGATACCGGAATTGTTACGGTATTTTCAGCCAAAATTATGTGACTTTATAATAAGCAGATGGTATTTCATTGGAGACTACAGGCCAGTAACCTATATGGTGAGTGTAAGGAGTGAGGAGTGTAAACTCCTCATCCCTGTATGCAAATAAATTCGATCGAACCTCTCATCCTGGTATGAGAATATTTTCGATCCCACATCTCATTCTATTATGGCGCTGTTTGTTATCAATCTTCTCATCCCGGTTTGAGATTATTTTCTATCAAAATTCCACATCCAGGTATGAGAACAATTTTTATCGAACATTTAATTACCTATGATCGTCGTACAAATATTTATCGCTGGGACACATGGGATTGGCAGCCCAAGGCTGGCGGTTGCCGCAGCTCGCGCCATTGCGTCAGAGCGGGAAAGGAGCGACCGCCTAAGTTGCGCTTCGTAGCCTTCACCTCTCGCGACTTTCCCGCCATCAAGATGGGCCTACTACGGCGCGTAGTCAAACCCGCCCCAACTCAACTGCGAGTCTCCCAGACTGCGACGTGAAATCAGTGCTCACTTCTCGAATAGGGAAGTTGCTACCTCGAGCACGATGTCTTTGGAAGGTGACATCTTAACCGGCACGCATTTTCAGGCAATGGGAGGTTTAAAGGTGGCCGATGAATCGCCAGCGGTCGGCAGCACTTATTTGGCTCCGGCCGACTGCTAGCTAGCTCTCATCACAGACCGCAAGAATCCTCGTATTGTGACAGCTGAGTAATTGTCGACCTCTGCCTCCCCTCGTTCCTTGCACAACTTCTTTATCGGAACTGTCTATAGTCTTCGGTTTTATACTTCATATGTGAGCGTGCTCATTATTGACTAATTTTTGGTGTCAAATATCTTCAACAGAAAGGTCGATCAATGAATATCAGTTATACCAATAAGTGAAGAATAAAAAAATAACCTGTGGACATCTCAATAAGTGTTAAAATAGCACAATTGTTGAACATAAATATTACATGTTTTTTTCATTCATCGTAACTCTATTGCTATCAAGCTTATATCTTTTTGTTGCTGTCCACAGGTTGTGAATAAGTAGCTAGGAAAGCATGAAAAAAATTCATTGTTGTCATCTCGGTAACGAGTTCAGTGTACATCTAAACCTAATTAGTCAAGAAATCCATAGTAACCAGACAAGCCTGCATGATCGGAGCCTGGTGGCTCTCAATACTCCCCTTAAGTATATCTCCGTCTTTCCTTTCTAAGTTGAAGTTTTCGTTAACCAATAAAGGCTACTAATGATTCAGATTAGAATTCTTTTTTATAACCTTCTCCACATATTCCTGTGTCATATTAATTTACGTTATTCAGAACACCGGAAGAAAATTCCGCCTTATTTTAGGTCATTTTCTTGTGAAACAAATATTGAATCAAAATGCTTTGCTGATCACCATAATTCAAATTGTTATTTTAATCCTGAACTGAACGTTTATTTATTGGGTTACGCAACGTTGACTTTTACACTACACTACTTTTTCTCAAGTACATTTACTTGATGTCTGTCAACGTACACATTTGCAGTTTGCAAAATATATTTTTTGGCAATAGAAGCTCAGTAGAAGTTCTGAACAGACGTGCAAGCGGAAACTCTTGTTCGCTGTTTACTTTCATACAGATGTTTGCTCCTAAGAAAACAGGACAAAATCAGATTATATTATTAAAAATATTTTTTTTTTTTTGAGAATAATTTACGTGCGGATTTCAATTAATCTCGCCCTCTGCTCGGTCATATCGAAATTTCCGTATGTTGTTTTTAAATAACTTATGATCGCGCTCTCAAAGATATGAAAAATTCATTTCAGAATAAATTTTGTATCGCCATATGTACCAAAATAGTTATTATCACTCCAACATCAAATTAATTTTTTGAATTATATCACTAATATAATTTGAAGACGCCATCAATTTTTTACGAACAATTTCATAATTTCGGCAAGTCGCTCTAGAGCATAAACTATTACTGACGTTTGGTCGACAAACAGTATTTAACCTCAACCATTTAGTACTTGTATCACAATAAATGTTAGAATAAGTTTAATTCTACACTGTTTGCGTATTTTAGTATTTTTAATTTTTTGCTTTTTTAAAAAATATATCAAATATCAAAATAAAAAATATACCTTATTATATTTTTGTTAAAATATATTTAATTAGAAAATATATTTAATTTTTCGCCCATGTCATATTTTCATCCTCCCATTCATAATCGTATTAGCAACCTAATCGTAATAGCAAACAGTGTAAAATATGGAAGTGTGAACTGTTCAAATGTAAGTTTCAGGCATTTTGATCATCAGTAAAAGATTCTTGACATTAGTGATCGGGAAAGCAGTGGCACTTGGAAAAAAAATTGTCTTACATGCCCGTGAATTCATCGCGCAGTCATGAGAGGCTCCGACCGTTTGTTCTCGAACAGTCATGAGGCAATGTTTAGTCCATTTTTCACGAACAGTTATGAGGAAATTTTTAGTCCATTTTTCACGAACAGTTATGAGGAAATTTTTAGTCCATTTTTCACGAATATCTATGGGAAAATGTTCTGTCCGTTTTTTACAGAACATTGCTCCCTACACTGTCTGTTGTCGAGGAGATAAGAGAGACGGATTACACAGAGATGAATTAATTTTTTCAATTACACCAACAGTAAAATTCATCACGAATACACTTAGGTAACAACGATCCTTCGTTAAAATTTTTTTGCATTCTATGTCCTGAACGAACATCAGAAAATCTTACACTTAAAAATTTCTGAACATTAGAAATTTAGGAGTTGCGAGAATTTTTTTGATTTCGTGGAAGCAGATATGAGTTCATTTGTGTATAACAAGGATAAAATTTAATTTCTTATCTTTTAGCGTTTTTTGACCAGCAGCACTTGTACAATGTACAATTGTACATCCACTGTTCAAGAAAACTGAAAGATCAGTGGTTGCAACCTGTCAGCCATTCAGCGATTACTTGTAACCTTGTGCACATTTCCTCGTGCAGAAAAGCCCTTCTCAAACATTCCGACGCTCAATTTGAATCTCGATTACCAACAGTAACGGGGTAGGAACTTTATAGCAAACAATACCAATGACACGTCAAGAGAAAACTCGAGTTTAATTCTGAATAGAAATTTTGATTCAGATGGCTGGTGGATTCGTGTATCAAGAGATGAAATTGTCCAAGCCTGCACATTGATATTACAGGCGAATTTGCGATCCAAGGACGGCGCTCTGATGTATTTTGAAAAGCTTTTCATTTCACGCCCGCTATTTTTAGCGCATTTTCTCATTTATGGAAAAAATGCACTATTGTGCTCGCCATGTCCGTCTGTCTGTCTGTCCGTCCGTCCGTGACCTCAAGTTTTCGTCGACGAGAAAATGCGCTCTCTGTCACTCACTGCAGTGAGTACTGAGTTATATTTTTTCGCCATTTGTTTATTCGGACAAATTTGACGGCAGGAAATCTTGCGCTTATCAATAAATTAAGCAATTGTTTAAGAGTCCCTTCATGAACTCTTCTTTCTTGAATGGAATAATAATAGAATCCATAACTTGAGATGATGAAAAAATCCAATGTTATTCCAATGTAAAAAACATAGATTATTAATTTATGTAAAACAAATCGAAGGAGATATACATCTTAAAAAAAGAGTCGAGAAATTTTCTAGAAATTAACAGTAATTTCGTACTCCAAGCAATTCGTTCATATCGATCGTTCTGAGGTTGGAGAACAATTCCAACTCCATTAGTTATCGTCATTAATTTCCAGTGCATTTATATTCTTCCAGTGGTCATTTTAATGCCTCGCGATTCAAATTTTAATTATTAAATACTTAATTAGGAATATAAAATACAATGAAATGGAATAATGATATGAAACTTTTCTTTTGAAACTTTTCTATTGTGTGGAATAGTGATGTATTTTCACTTTTTATAGTTCACTGTTCCATTCTTACTTATTCGCAATCCTCACTGTACCGCAACTGTCACTTAATTATGTCCATAAACAAATAAATGATACACGGTTTGGGGCGATCCACCGCTTGTTTTAAATCCTACCAATACTGGCTTCAGGTTCTTCATCTCACAAATTCCATCATATGAAATACTATTGCAGCTAATTTCGAATTACGGCAATCGTATACCAAAGCGACTTTGCTTGCTGCACCGAAACAACTTTACATCCGTCCGTATTCGTCCGGTTAATGTTTCAGTGATCATGTCGAGATTAAAGAACTTTTATATTTTATGAAGCGAAGAAACATATATATTGTATTATACTATTATAATATACTATATGATATACATTTAAAATATGTATATATTTTATATAGAAGTTCAGTACGGAGTCTGCAATGAACTTAACCATCTAATCAACACCGTATTTCTATCACATAATAATATACTCCTACGAGTAATTTACAAAGAGTAACAGTTCCAAACAACGAGTCTGAATCGGAACAAAGGGAACCGCATCCGACTCTGGCGACGCTGGGCAAG